GATTTCGCTAAAATCCCGGCATAAAATCGTATTCAACTTTTGGGTACTTCACATAGCTCGACCTTCTATTAGTGACACGAGAAAGAGAGACCGCGATTCGCGCTGTAAGAAACTTTTGGGCGCCCAAAGTCGTCTATCCCTCGAAGCGCGCCGCGCAAAAGGTGGTTTATGTCGCCCCTAGGAAAAAAAAACAAAATTCCGCGACGCAGGAGTTGTGCGCGTTGACAAGATCTTCCCGACGACACCAATTTGAAAACAATCGGAGAAAAACTGTAGAAGAAGATAACAACTGAAAAATCTCCAGGTTAGTATAATACGCTCGGGGATGGCGTCCAGATGTCGTCGACTCCAAATCTTGTAGCCCCATCCCTAACGTTCTTAATTACACGGCCCCGATAGTTACATGTACACTCCTTGTCTTTTTACAAGCGTTTTTCTACGGGCGCGCATTTACTGCCAGCCAGCCAGCCAGCCGACCAGCCAGCCAGCCAGCCAGCCAGCCAAAGTGAGATTAAAAGCTACTTTTTACAAAAAAATTTTTTTGCAAAAATGCGCTAAAAAGCGCATTTCCATAGTCCGTGTTGGAACAAAAATAGTTACTCGAAGGTGAGACAAAGATAGAAGATGAAATAAATTTGCTTTTACCTTTGATTTCAAAGCTTTGCTAATATCCAGAAAATAAATTTCTTACTTACAGTCTACATCTAAATGCTTTATAGGTGACGCTACTAGCGAATGTTACAGTTTTCAATAATAAGGAATGAGTTTAAATTATTAACCACATATTTAAGTAAAAATGAGTATATAGGCAACACACCTAACACCCTCATCGTGATCCATACAATCTGTACTTCTTTAGTAGTCTATATTCAAAGCTGAATACTAAGAATCTAAACCTACCTACTCTATTATTATTTATAATAATCGCCAGGCAAGGAAGGTAAGCATTTTATGTATTTTTTTTGTGGATGGAAGTCGAACAATAACTTCAAAATGGTACCAATCTTCGATCATACATATGTATGATCGAAGGTACCAATTAACCATATATTATGATACATACGTGCAATAAGCATTACTTACTTACCTACAGTAATTAGGTACCTACTAATTTGTTAGGTTAAGTTTCATTACAGACTTTGATCATTTTCCAATTTCCATTACGTCAACTAGATTATTATTATCGTTGCCATACTCTAGATGTCACCGCAGTACAGTTTTTCCTATTTTTCACTCGACGGTTCTTCTCAATTCTGTGCGCTCTTAGATTACAAAAGCCCGCTCAACAATTATTTAGTTATACACGGTGCCCAACGAAAATTTGTGCCTCCTTAAAGCAGTCTAAATGTTTTGACAAAAATCCAAGTATCGGTCGGTTTTTATTTTGAAGGAGGGCCAATTTTACTTTAACCTAAGTCTTTATAGTTTTGTATTGTCCGTCCGTCTGTCCGTGTCCGCTATAACTCTTTTTAAAGGTAACCGATCGTGTTGAAATTGACGTACGGGTACTGCTATACAGGGTGGTGACTTGCGTAACGCATCATAGGGATTTCAATGTAAAATTCATAACATGCGATTATTGGCTCCCCAAATTATTTTAGAGCAAAAATGTAGTAAGGTTTTTTGTAGAAAAAATTTTTTTACGTCATCAACCGTATTAGTTTTCAATTTTTTGCATAATAAAGACGGAAAATTAGAAAAATCAAACCCCCATTTTTTTCAATAATCAGTGATGCCATGGAATTTAATAATACAAAAACTACGCCAATATCCGTCATGCCATGGAATGTCTGCTATAAAACAAATCAAATTCTATCAAATAGTTATTTGTTTCATTAGTACAAAAAATGTCAGTTTTCGGGACGAGGAAGATAGTTGCTGGACGACGCGTCAGCGGAGTCCAGCAACCTTCCGAGTCCCGAAAACGCATTTTTTGTACGAATAAAACATAAAATTTTTCTCCAACCCCCTTTACTTCAAATTATATTCGAATTTAGATTCAGTCACAGTTTCACTACTATAGTATAAGAACTTCTGCTTTCTTGTCCTCACGTGTCATACCACTCTAGTTTTTAGGTTAACTTATAACCTATTCGTTCTTACTTCTTACTTCTCACCTCTCGCGACTTTGTAGGGAGCAAATTTTGAGGTAGCATGTTCTGCCATTTCTATAATCTCTAGCGGAGTGCAATCCATGTCGCTATCAGTTTCAGTCATTTTATTGTATACACAATTAATATTGTTATATTTTGTATTGAAATAAAATACTTACCATACAGTTTTTTAATTAAAATTAATTGCAATTAACTTTTTCAAATTTTGAATTCAAAATGACAGATAATAGTGCAATGGGTCTGAAGTAGATGGCGTTACGCGCGACGGCGGGTTGTATACGTACATTGAATAATAAATCTGAATTCAATGATACGTATTAAAATTACGTTCACGGAATATGTAAATTACGTTACACATGGTTTAAATAAAAATAGCGAGCGTAAATCATTTTCAATACATGTACATACGTATAGGTAACACCATTATTTGCATTGAATATGCAAAAATATTTGATTTGTATGTATAGAAATATCTTACAACCTGCAATGTAAAACGATGTCAATGTGACATATCTCCGTGATTGCAATTTTTTAATTGGCCAATTTTCAAGGTCAATTTCTTTTTGGTACTAGGACCAAAAGTATCCACTTTTTGTACAGTTGCCATGGTGAAAGCAATTAATCCGCAAAACGTCAATTTTAGGTACCGAACACTGTCACAAAATAGCGTCTTATTCAGGTGGTTGGAGAAAAAAGTATTATATTCAGAACAGCGAATTCAACATAAAGAAAGACCAAATTACTAAAAACGGTTTCCTAATATAACAATTTACAATAAATGTTCGAATAAGTCACCATTAATTACAAGACAGTAACCAAGTCGATTATAATAGTACATTATAATATATCAAGGTAGAGAAGTACAGTTAATTGCCTGAGCACCACATCTCGAGGCGCTTGCGCCGAGGAGTGTAAGGTGCGAAGGCAATAATAGACTACTCTACCGTGGTATATATACTATTTTTTTCACTACTAGCACTTGAAATCCTCTAACTTAACATATTATATTGATAAGAAAGTGAACGGTTGCGGACAGAATTTTTTGTTTATTAATTTAAAATGCAATCAAGTACGTAGAAGTAACAGTCAAACAGGCCGTATTTTGTTCATTGAGATATTTTCAAAGAGTAATTTCGTTCGAATTTTTTCAAAATGTGATAATTTTAGGTATGTAATTTCTCTGGAAATGGCGGATGGTGGCAATTATTCATTTTAAAGAACTTGTCCAAACGTTTATTGAGCGAAATTTCGGGTTGTGTTTTCTAAAAGTGACAGCGTGAAAGTTCTCATTATTGACTACTAGTTAATAATGTGCACATTATTAACCACTTTGAACAAATGCCGAGAAAGCCTACTTTACAAGTGGAAAAAAGGTTAATAATCATGTCATCAGACGCTAGTAGTGAAAAAAATCCATTTCGAACTGCTGCTAATTGATACTGGATATCTTTTTGTTTTAGAAAATTCCATGGCATCGCAGATTATTGAAAAAGCTGCGGATTTTATTTTTCCAATTTTCCGTCTTTATTATGCAAAAAGTTGAAAACTAATACGGTTAATTGGCGTAAAAAAATTTTTTTAATAAAAAACTAATACATTTTTACTCTAAAATAACTTGGGGAGCCAATAATCGCATGTTATGAATTTTACATTGAAATTCCTATGATGCTTTACGCAAGTCACCCCCCTGTATATTGATTTTCTGGAACTTTAAATGTACCCAAAATTATTATTTTCACATGAATTTAAACTCATTAAACGCATTATCTTGATGCCCAGAAACATATGTCTATGATATAAAGATGTCAAATTCTTTTTCTGGGGCCACATGCATTTTCATCAAAACATGTCAAAATCGTTATTCTTGCGGCGAGATCGTTAGGAAAAAGACCAAGAGCATATTATTTCCATGCCCAAGACATAAGTACCTACATTTGATGCATTTTTCGTCAAAACATGTCAAAATCGTTATTCTTGCACCGAGATCATTGGGAAAAAGTCTAAAAGCATGATCTCAATGCCCAAGACATGAATTTGGTGCATTTTTGGGGACCATATATGTATTTTGATCACAACATGTCAAAGCGTTATTCATGCACCAAGATCGTTGGGAAAAAGATTAAGAATATTATCTCGTTTCCTAATGAAGTTGATGCATTTTTGTTGACTGCCTATATGTATGTGGTTTTGCAAAGTTGAAACAAATGGTCGTTAAAAAGTGGTGGTAATACTGAGGATCCTTCGATATTTCGTTGTATCGGTTTATTTATAGAAGTTCTACAAATTTTTGTTGAGACAGGTTGTAGAGTTTACCGAGTCATTTTCATAGCGGCATAAGCACTTCAACTATACAGTTTCAGTTTTTTTCAAATTAGAAATTGTTTAATTAAATTTGAGGAAGAATTTCAGCTTTTGTAGTAATATATTTGTAGGGATTTTTTCGCGTAGCTCAAATTGACGCTATTTAGGTATTTAAATGAAAATTAGTTTTGGAATATTGCCACCTATTTGCTCATTGTTCTGACTTTCATAATAATATCCATCAAAAGTGCAAGTTGAAATAGCGAATTCTCTGGTTAGACAGGTAAATATGGCTTCTTCATCTTCACATAAGCACCTCAACCCTGAAAATTGTAGGTTATAGGATGAGCAATACACGTTAGAACAGTTTTCCTAAAACTTTACGACAAAAGTGTCTTAAAGAGACTGTTCTAAGTAAAAAAAATGTGTCTCATGTCCCATTTCAACCTAAAGTTGTGCTGTTTGTTTTCAATGCACCATTTAGTATTGTATACTGTAAGGTAAATTTAATTGCGAGCTTTATTTATTACAACTAATTAAATATAGGCCTTGAAAAGAATTAATTTATAACGGTAAAGTATTACATATAAATTCAATGCTATTACTTATCATATCACTTACGAATACATAAATTATCACTTCGGCGTGGTAATTGGAACGGCCCCGAAACGCAATTCGTTTGCTTATATACCAAATACCACCTCTCTCCCGAAAGATCTAGATCGCTTCCCAAGGAATCCGGACTAAGTATTCAAGAAGGTTCTCGAACAAGCACGCCATATTTCTCGGAAAGATTACGATCTTTCATGGCGCCTCGATGTCTATCGAGATTTCTGGAATGTTCGCTACAATACTTTTTCGTTGCAAAGGGTAGGTACCTACTCATTACCCCTCCTCCCATATTTCCTGGGACATTTGTTTTTTTACGCTTAATGAATAAATTCGTACTATATTATAGAAGCTCTAATCATTTTATTAGGTATAGCCATCTCTAGCAGTCATTCCAGTTGAGATTACCACTACAATGGAGTCAACGCCAGAATTTACGAACGAGTTTTTCAAATCCATTTTGGAAAATCACTTTCAACAGATGATCCATATCTCAAACGTAAAAGTAGAGGACATGACCAACTCGGCTCTTAACTTTTGCAGCAAGCTGAGAAGAATTACTGTTGCCTACCACTTCGAAAAAAAGTGTGTATACTTACCAACTCTAAAGGCTGTGAGTGTCCTAGTAATTTTAGGCAGGAGAACCACGAGATCGCACTCGTTGCCAAATGTTTACCGGATAACGAATTTATGGCGCAATTTGTCACCGACATGGGGATGTTCGATTGCGAAATTGAAACTTACTCGACGGTAATTCCGAAACTGCTAATGTTAAGTGAGCACATCTACGGCACGTACTTCAAAGCTAAGCATTACAAATTACAGACTACAGAGAGAAGTTCGCACCCAGTGTTTATTACACCAGTCGAGAACCGAAACCTATAATAATTCTCGAAGATTTATCTTCGTTGAATTACAGAGTGCTCGATAAACGAGTTGGTTTAGATTTGGAGCACAGTCTCCTGGCCGTTGAGAAGCTCGCCTACTATCATGCCGCGACGGCCGCATTGCACATGCTGGACTCCAGCATTCTGCCAAAGTTTCATCACTCGCCGTTTCGACGAACCGACCGTCTGCACGACATCATGAGTGCCAGCTACGAGGAAGTGGTTAACGTGTGCCGAAATTGGCCAGGTAAACACTCTTCCTCTTACAAATTTACCTGTTTCTTAAACTGTAGAGCTGGGCGACTATGTGGAGAAACTCAATCGAGCCAAACCTCACATACTGCTAAATATCTACGACCTACAGAACTTGAAAGTCAATTTCAGCGTGCTGAATCGTGGAGATTTTTGGACCGCCAACATTTTGTTTTCCTACGGCCCGGATGGAAATCTCACGAATGTTGCATTTGTCGACGTACAGCATTCTACTTTTACAAGCCCGTGCTTCGACCTGCATTTCTTTCTAGCTACAAGTCTTATGGAGGGAATTAAATGTGAAAAAGTTTCAATTGTCAATCGTTATTTTGAAACCTTCGTTATGAATTTAAGGAAGCTCCGCGTGAAAATCGTACCAACACGTGCGGAATTTGATGAGGATTTTCGTATAATGGGCTACTGTGGTAATTTATATTGTTGTATGTACCTACCGTTATCATCTTATGATGAGTCGTTTAGGTTTCGCCGCATCAATTTATGGACTTCCGTTCATGAAAGCCAGTAGAACAGAGGGGGCCTCACCAGAGAACTTTTTGGCGGACGGCAGCAAAGACAGTTTTAGACATCACTGCTTCAACAATGAAGTATACTTAAAAGAACTGTTTCATTTCTTACCGTTTTATAATAGTTTAGGACTATTTGACGTCCGTGACTAGCGAGAACTGTTTTCTCGAATGATTTTTTTCCCAATCCTTTTAATTAGAAAATATCTTTTGTGGTCAATCCACCATACGCAGTGTTATAATGTAGATACAGCCAATTAATTACTACTGGATGTGTACCTTACATAAAAAAATTAAGAGATTGTAACTGTATCTAGTTATGTTACCGTAGATACTTTCACATGCCGTATTTCTTTTTAATAAGTATTGGGTGTTACTGATTCAGGAAGGAATCAATTATTATGACCTTTTAAAAATAGAAAAATAATTGTTATAAATAATAAACGTCTTTATTAGGCAGTTAAACAAAATAAATGCGTAAAAATGTTAAACTTATTGCCTAAGGCCAGCGTTCCGTGGCCAATCGGTGCCGAGTACTGACATATATGCGTTCGCTTGTAGTAGACCGAAAATTAAGGGCTCGGTTAAAGGAGAGAGTGAGCATAAAAGCTCGCCCCCGGTTTCACCGTTTATCGGGAAATATAAAATGGCATACAAAGCCAATAAAATTTGGATCAAAAGAGTTGACAGTTGGATGACGTTGCGGTCGGTTTCGTGCCGACTAGTTTAGCTGTAGAGGTGCCAGGTGGTTTTCCAAACGACAAAGTTTGGAATCTTTTAATCCATTGTAAATAAGCCATTTGACTATTTTGGAACGTCTGTACGCTGTACGCTTTCTAATTGCCGAGGAAGATTGTCTCTTCAATGACGGATTTATTGTAAAATATTTGTGTGGATTGCACATGAACAAAAGTTCATTTCTAACATTTTAATTAAGAAATAAACCTAAATCACTCTGTCTTTAATTTACCTTGTCTTTGTGCTACTTCAAATAAAAGAACTGGCAGACGATGACCTATACAGTTGTAACTTCAAATACTACAAGGCACAACGTAAAATCTAAATCCTACCACTATATCTTTCATCAGTCTGAATCTGGGAGGAGGTGAGTGGTATAATAATCAGTGTATTTAACCCGGTGTCATTACAAAATCTTGCGATTTGACCCTCGTAAAATCCTAATTCTGGCATCTATACCACCAACATCCGAAGCGGCCCGTTAACATTGCCAGAGAACTTATCTACAAATGCAAATGTGGGTAGGACACCAGAGGGATCCACTTCACTGGGGATCACAAGCATCATTGTTTCGTCTTGACCCCGCTACCTCCAAGTACAGTGACTTTATAAGGACAGTGGCGACAACTTATCATAATCCGCCATATTGGAGCTAAAAAATTGATTGTAAGATCAATATACCTTGTCATGTCAAATTGTGAGCGTAGAATAATAAATGTCAGTTTCATTTAAGTAAAGATTCTTGTTCAAAACGAACGGCGCAGAAATGATCGTTTAAAGCTTTGCAGAACAACCTATGGGAAAACAAATGCCTCCCAAATTCAAAATGGTATGGGTATATGGAAAACGGTATAATAAGTATGACATATGGTGCAATATCCAAAATGTACATATAAATAATCATTAAATTGTGTTTGACATTTCAGTGTCTTCTGTCACTTCTTGTCCCCTGTCGCGTGTTGCTCCTTCCAGACTTAAAAGTATTTCTTTAGTCTCTTAAATGGAAGACAAAACACGTTGATCTAGTCCACGGAGTACAAGAGATCAATATTCCATGTGCTCCAGCAAACATGAAACCAATTCAAGCGTATTTACGATCACAATTGAATTTGCTGCTAAATTTCGGATAAGCTGCTTCTCTAACCAGTTTTCTATCTAAACTCATTAGGTATTTAGGGCGTCTGAAAAAAATTTTACATCAATTACCAGTCGTAAGGTTAGGCACAGTTTTACATCTAAAAACACTAAGCGGATTACATACCTTATAATATCGTAATAAATCCAAACTATATGCGTCTTTAAAAATCGAGTTTATATAAAACTGGAGACGGAAAACGTAAAATAAAGCAAATACAAGAAGCAAAGTATAAACTAGTAACATGAAGCCGTGACAATTACAGGTGACACTGTCAAAACAGTATAATTAATAATTATAGCACGGAGTGTACCGCGTCGTTTTGAAGGTTTTCTATTGGCCAGTTTGGAATTTAGCTCCAATATGGCGACCGGAACCAACGACCAATCAAAAACGAGATACCCTGTTGTCGCCACTGTCTCTATAAAGTCACTGTAGGTACAGCTATTGTCGTTGCTATAGTAATGTGTTGTTTTATGCTGTACCGTCAGTCCTCGTAATCGCAGTGGAAGATTATGTTGTTTGCTCTGCTGCGGAGACGATTTTAACATTATATCCACTCAAATCAAAAGAAACTTATTGGAACGGTTTCGATCAGTTCGGCAATTGATGGAATACAATGAATTTGAAAGGAGATATTTCCGAAAATGTCACGTTGACGGGTACGTAACTGAATACCTTAACAATACCTTATCCAAGGAGCTACACATACATACATCACGATATGCTTTGCTGAGATCGTTTGGCGACCATACTGGCTGCTGATCTCACTACATTAAAACCGAGATTAAAATGGTTAGGTGGATGGAAGTTCTCAGCTGTTGCCGAAAGTGAATTGTTATATAATTGTCATTTCCCTTTAATAAAATGGTTGTTATGTATAAGTGGTTGCTAACGATTAATGGTTGCTAACGTATAATGGTTGGTTGCTAACCATTAATGGTTGCTAACGATTAATAAGCTTCATCATTGTACTCGTCACTAAGGAGTAATTTATATTGTTATCGAGAGGTCGACGAAAAAAACAAATTTTGAAACTGGCGTTAGATTTTCCTCTATTCCAAATGCCTATGTATCAAATTTCGTTTAATTTCTTCCATAAATAAAAAAGTTGGCACTGCGCATGCGCAAAACCAAATTTTGAAACTGGCGTTAGATTTTCATTTATTCCAAGTGCCTATGTATCAAATTTCGTTTAAATAAGTACTTTAATAAATAAAAGTTTGCAATTCGGTTTATAAATGGTCGAGATGCGAAAAGGGCACTGTGAATTTTGAATCGATTCGACTCAACTTTTGGCATTGCCTATTATATGGCTAAAGCTATGCCCATATTGAATTTCATGCAATTCAGTTCATAACTAATGGAGATCTAAAAAATTATCGTTCACACGGACAGATAGAGGGACATACAGACAAAGGAACAGACGGACAGACCAGATCGTTAATAAACGGCAAAAGTGTAAAATTGTGGAGCATGTAAAAACGGTTTTTTGGTTTTTTTTGCAATAACTTTTTTAGTAATAAACGCAGAAAAAATTTCTTTCCTTGGTGCAAGCCTCGACACCATAACGAACCAAACAGTGAAAAAAGTAGAACAATAGTTCAATAATTTTTACAACGCACCTTAAGAGGTTGATTCTGTACCACCAGATCAGCTAGCTTGTAAAACAAATTTTTTGAATTGTCATTAGTTTCACTTTTACTCAAGGTACCTACATACAAGATTTCTTTTAAATATCTGATAAAATAAAAAAACTGAGATTGCGCATGCGAACAACAAATTTTTTGATTCGGCATTAGTTTTACTTCTATTCGAGGTGCGTACATACAAAATTTCTTTTAAATATCTAAACAAATAAAAAAAATTGGGATTGGGCAAATACAACAGTTAGGTTGCGCATGCGCATTTTTTTATTCATCTGCATAGCTGCTTGAGGTTTAAAGAATATTTACTAGCACAGAAAACTTTCATATGTTCTTTGTAAGAAGAATTATAATAGAAACCCCATTTTTTGAGGTTTGGGCTGTAACTTTTTGCCCCGTTAATCTACGTAGCCCACCTTTCTTATATCTTGAAGTACATGTGTAGCAACTTACAGCGCGATCGGGCGTTTCTACGCAAAGTTATCGTGCACACGGACAGACAGATGAGACAGACGAACAAACAGACAGCAATACAAAAATTAAGTATAAACGCTCTCAAGGATCGTTAATAAAACCTTTTGTAGGATTTAAATCCGATTCGTTTAATTTGGTGCTTTTTATATTCTACTGGTCTACTAGATACTGAAATACAAGTAACTTATACAACACTATAATAGCCATAGTCACAAACAAAAACAAAAAAAAACAATTTCATTGCAACTTTAAGAATAAAACATCTACTTTAGGTATATTCTGGAATGCGACCATGTAAAGATGAATTAAATCAAAGAGTATAAAAATAATAAATCAAATTTTTTTACATGAAGCGTACGGCGGTAGCACACATTCACACGACAAGTTGCCCCATTTTCCCGAAGAACGAAACTTCTGTCCTTTGCTCAAGAGCTTTGTTCCAAATGTGCAGTAGGGTGCTAGAGATCAGAGGTCATATTTTGAAAAATTACTAATGAATTTGTTACCTGGTCCGGTGTTGTGTTCCTCTTCAAAAGTAATGTTATTTTCAGCTAATTTAACAAAAAAATCTGTTAATATATAGTGGGTTTGAGATAAGAGGGTCGCCTCGATATCTCTTTCATTTGGCGAGATATCACAAATTTGGCAAACAAAATTTTATATGTGACATTACAATCTATCTGATCGCAAACACAATCTGGTATGACTTCCGGTTTAACCGGAAATAATAATAATAACACAGACACAGACACTAATCGTTACTTGATTTTAATCCGTGCGATTAGTTAACCAGGCTAGACCTGAGTTCTCACAAGAAACACCGACCATAATAATAATAAAGTTACACGCCCTAGCACAGTTAAAAAACACATAACTCCTTCTTCACAGAAACACCCCACGTTATCACAACCCACTCGTATTCAACCCAAACGCAAAGCCAAAGAAACACTTACACAATAAACTCCATTTAATAAAATTACAGGAATTATTATAATGAATTTTTTTGTTTTGTTTTGTTTTCCTCTTTCCTGATAGCGTTGGCTATTGTGCCCATCAATAGGTATGTTGGTAAGTATGAATTACATACTATCCCTAGATTTAAATGTACGTGTGTGATTTTTTTTTTTTAGGACCCTACATAACTTCACCAGACACAGACACAGACACTAATCGTTACTTGATTTTAATCCGTGCGATTAGTTAACCAGGCTAGACCTGAGTTCGCACAAGAAACACCGACCATAATAATAATAATAAATGTCTTTAATAAGTACCTAGGTCCAGCTCTCCTATTATGCATATTTAACCATTTTAGATCGATCAACTTGTGACTTACATGATCATATTTCCTCATTCCGAAAATCAATCTCACACAACTATTTTGTACTTTTTGCACACGTTTGTTATCAAAACTAGTTAACCAAGGACCATATACCTACTACATCCGCGTGGTCAAATTGCGAGAAAACCAAAGAGGAGCAGAGAAGCACACGAGTAGACCGATCCAAGCAATTCCGCATATGATATATGTATCGTTTTAAGCGACGCACAAGATTTTCTAAGACAAGATGAGATGTGTGGTGTAAATCTTAGGGCGGAGTCAATATCAACACCAAGATTCCTAACCGTGTCCGCTAGTGGTATCAGAGTCCCACAACAAGTTACCTTGATGTCATTCAAAGACTTGAGTCGATCGGTTTTTTTACCAAACAATATCGCCATGCATTTGGTTGGATTTGACTGTAGACAGTGCTTAATGGAAAACTGTTCAATGTGATGCAAGTCATAATTGATAGCCGCTATTGCTTGTTGTACTTCGGTTGGATAAAAGGACAAATACAATTGAATGTCATCTGCATAGCAGTGTACTGTAGACGAGGAGGAGTATAGTGCACTTGAGAAACAACATAGGGCCTAGTACGGACCCCTGCGGGACTCCATTTAGTACGGTTTGGAAGGAAGATGTTATAGATATGTATGTTACGCCACTGGTGAGTTGACCAGAATAAATGATAGGATATCGTGTTTGGTTTTATTCTAATTACGATAAATCTCCAATTATAAGACATGGTGTCAGGTGTTGTTGGTTCCAGTTAGTTGTTAAAATTGGTTCCAGATATAGGGGTCCGTGAAGTGAGCTGGCCATGAAAAGCACAAACAACGGATTTAAGTTTAATCGTTTGTGCTTCGTTTGTGCTCGTTTGTGCCGTATAACAAAAGTCAGCAAAACCAACCATACAAAAATTATGGGCAATTCAAAATGGTCAGCTGACTTCACGCACGAAATTAAAGCACAAACGACGGGTTTAATTGCAATCGTTTGTGCTTCGTTTGTGCTCGTTTGTGCCGTATAAAGTAAGTCAGCAAAACCAACCATTCAAAAATTATGGGCAATTCAAAATGGTCAGCTGACTTCACGCACGAAATTAAAGCACAAACGACGGGTTTAATTGCAATCGTTTGTGCTTCGTTTGTGCTCGTTTGTGCCGTATAACAAAAGTCAGCAAAACCAACCATTCAAAAATTATGGACAATTCAAAATGGTCAGCTGACTTCACGCACGAAATTAAAGCACAAACGATGGGTTTAATTGCAATCGTTTGTGCTTCGTTTGTGCTCGTTTGTGCCGTATAAAGTAAGTCAGCAAAACTAACCATTCAAAAATTATGGACAATTCAAAA